CAACCAGCTTTATGGTTTAGTAGGGGAAGCAAGAAGTAATTCAGAGCGGGCACCAATTATGCAAGGTGGTGCATGTGCACTGGAACAGGCGGGACAGTCACTAAGGGCAATGGCTCAGGAGAAAACAGGATCACTCTGTTTTCTGTATTGGTCAAGCAGGTCTCAAATCCAGCTCAGATTTCAAGGGAATGGAACTGAACTCTGTCTCTCAGTGGGAGCAGTAGAAAAGAATATGAAACCATATTTTATAACACTATTTTTCCTGAGACCTAGATAGGCAAGGTCACTGGCCCACATCCTAGCCCCACTCCTTGGGGGACCTCATACTTTGGAGTGCTAATGTTGAAAATTTTCCAAGTCCTTCAGTGGCTGGGATAATCCTGGTCTGTTTCTCTTCAAGGTACTCTTTGACCTGCCACAGCATCTATGGGGTTGACCAGATGCCTTGAAGAGCTTCAGGGTTCATGCCTATCAGGTTGTCCAGGGCAAGCTGACAAGCAGATTGCTTGTGCTGGACAGCACCGTGCTTCTTCTGTGGCATTGCACAATATTAGCCATTAAATGGTACTGACTTGTTAAATATGGATGATTCCCATTCACCTTGGATACAGGAGTTCAGGAATGGGTTGCTACCAGTCTGCCATCGACCCTTGGGGTTGAATCATCTGCCTGGGTCAATGCCATGGTTCTCACCAATCTGGGTTATGACCACAGTGCTGCCTCTGGTCTACAGCATGCCAGAATAGTGAGAGTGGCAGCGTCCTTTATCCTGTGAAGAGCCCCGACCTCCACCCCACCCTCTCTTCGGGCTTTGCAACCGTGTGTCAGGCAGTCTTCCAGGGAATGCCATGTCTTTTTTTTTCCCATTTGAGATTGGAAATTTGTAATGCCAGCAGCTTTTCCAATCAATGTTGACTCTTTTCTCTGGTCAATGTCGTGACCTCACAAGCTACTGGGTTAATCTCAAGCTGTGTTAGGTGTGGGTCAGACATTCTTTAGCTCCACCCATGGACTCTAGCCCATCTCCACTCCCACTGACAACTGGATTCAGTGTCAGGAGTGCAGTCAACAGTGGAAAAGATCACATTCTAGGAATACAGTCCTTAGGCCTAAAGAATTCAAGAGAAGACATATTTGGATGATACATTGCTGTACATCTACAGTATACAACAACACAGGTACACTTACAATGAGTTGTTATTCATGGTTTCCTTCATACTCTAAACAAATCTTGCCATTTAGTGTCATCATTGATGAGGCATGGTAACAAACTTAGAGTCACTGAAAGCCAGTATCCATGGGCAGAATGAAGGATGATGAAACATCATGAGTCTCAATGAAATAAGCACTAAATAGATGACAAGAGGAAATGGAGGGACAAGAAGAGCTATACAGACAAAATGAGCAGGTTCTGAAGAGCCACGGCACTGTGAATAAAAACAGCATTGTTCGCTTTTTCTTATAGTAGCCAGAACCCAGCCAGCAAGAGCATGCTTGACAATGAATGTGAAGAGAGAGTTCCTGAACCCACACAGGGAGCCAGGGTTCATGAACATTGTAAAGGGATCTTCACATGCACTTATTGGACAATAAACAAATATGGAAGTACCTCTCCTCTGTCAAGTATTCTCAATTTTCATTGATAAATCACTGTTCTTATAGGAGTCCATGAATTTTGTAACACAGTTTTAAATCAAATTGCTTATATAGACAGGGTCCATTAACATTTTGTCTGGGGCTTGACAAACCCTAACAATCCTGCTAAGATAGATAGATAGACAGACAGACAGACATTTCCCAGAGGATCCTTTACCAATGAAGTACTAACAAATAATCCTTCAGTCAATCTCCCTCCTCCTGCCCATTAGACTGCAGATGGAGTGATCCGTGTAAAATGCAAATTTGCTCAAGTGACTCTCAAGGTTGAAATCCTCCAAAGGCTCCTTGCCACCTACAAAATGAAGTCCAAGCTCCTTAGACTGACTTGATCACAGTCTATCTTTCTGGTCTCATCCTTTGCCATTTTGTGCATTATATTAGTAATATAAAAAAAAACTACTTACCTGTAGTTTCTCTGTGCACCATGATCTCCTCACTGGGTTTATCTTTCAAGACTCAGTTCAGGTATCACTTCATCTTTCAAGTCTTCTGAATCCCCAAGCTATGCTAAGTATCCCCTCTCAATCACCCCATAGTTCCCAATTACCCTTGATTCACACTCACCACAGAGCATTCTAATTATCTGTATAGAAATTTCCCTTCCATGATTCCTCAGAAAACTTGGAATGGAACCACCATTTGATCCAGTTATCCTACTCCTCAGTATATACTCAATAAAATCAGCATACTACAGTGATGCAGCCACATCAATGTTTACAACAGTTAATTCACAATAGCTAAGCTATGGAACCAACCTAGGTGCCCTTCAACAGATGAATGGATAAAGAAAATGTGGCATATATACACAATGGAATATTACTCAGCCATAAAACAGAGTCTTTTTATGACTTTTGTCCGTAAATGGATGGATCTGGAGATTATCATGCTAAGTGAAATAAGCCACCCCCCCCAAAAAAAAAAAACAAAGGCCAAATGTTCTCTTTGATATGTGGATGCTAACACACAATAAGATGGGAAGAGAAGAATTTAGAAGTTCAGTGGAATGGATACAAGGGAATAAAGGAAAGGGGGATGGGAATAAGAAAGACAGTAGATTGAGTAGGACATAATTTTCCTATGTTCATATATGAATACATGACCAATGAAACACCACATCATGTGCAACCACAAGAATGGGATCCTAATTAGAATAAGTTATACTCCATATATGTATGATATGTCAAAATACACTCTACTGGCCTATATAACTAAAAAGAACAAAGAAAAAAATAAGAAAGTAATTTCCCTTCCAGTATATTAAACTTTTGCAGAAAGATAGTATCTCATGTATCTTTGTGTCCCAGCCCTTGCATTATGCCTGACACATAGTATGAGCTCAATTAATATATAATATAGGATGATTTATGGGAAAACATCACTAGACTAAGGCAGGTGGGCTCTGGTGAGCCTCAAAAACAGTTCTGGGAGAATAAAGGAGAGGTTGGAGGGCAAGTAATTATAGAGAATGTCAGCATAATAAATCAACTGTCCCAGTGGTTTACCATAAAAGAAAAATAAGAAATGAGAAACAAGAATGCAAGATGGAGGGATGGAGTTTCCTTCTATTTCTATTTGCATATGCATATGCAAAAGCCTGGGAAGCCATAAGGAGGCTTCTGTTCTTCAATTTTCTTATCTGCCTTATCCACCTCACAGGGATGCTGCGGAGCCCAAAGGAAATAAGAAATGGGCATAAAATTACTTTGAGAGCTCGGCATAGTGGTACATGCCTGTAATTTCAGCTACTTGGGAGGCTAAGGCATGAGGATGGCAAATTCAAGGCAAGCCCTGGCAATTAGCATGACCCTGTCTTAAAAAAAAAAAAAATTAGGTGTGAGGGGCAGGGGATGTAATTCAATGGTAGAGTGCTTGCCTGGCATGCCAGGAGCCCTGTGTTCAATCCCCAGCACTACAAAAATAAATAAAACAAGTCTTTGAGAAATTTAAAAACTTCTATCTAACCTCTGATAGTTTCCAGCTATCTATAGTACCAAAATCTACAAATGAAAATCTGAGCCTTACATTTGTGTTCCCCGTGATCTAGCTCTGAACTTCCTTCTAATACTATTCTTGCTCCAAGCCCCATGAGCCCAGCCACAGGAGGTCCAAATTCTTTCCTCATATGCCTTTACTCAAGTTACTCCTTCACTCTTAAATGCCCTCCCTTTCATCTCTACCAAGGCAATACAAGAAACAGTGGTTAGTATAGGCAAGACACTGTTGATTCTTGAAGGTCTATTCATATGGCAATTAGTCTATGATCCATGAACTTTTCTTGCTCTTCCCCATGGAAATGGTACTTCAGTCAATAGTTCCATATATTCTACTTGATAATTGATCTGGAGTATATGTCTAGCCCTCTAAATGGACTTATGAGAGGTATGAGACAGTTGAGGACTGCTGCTTTGTGTTCTTATCCCCAATATCTGTGCATGGTACACAGTAGATGCTCAGTGAATACAAGTGGAGAAGTTAATGTTAAGCAAATAAACAACAAGGGTGGACAGTCTCTTGGGACACAAAACTGGGAGGGATCCAGGATATGGGAGAATAGAAACATCAACTTGTCAAAGGGAGAGGAACATCTCCTCCTTTGGGAGGATCTGCAGATAAAGCCTGGGAGGATGAAAACGCTGTGGGTCTACGTGGAAAGACAGAAATTGTACAAGCCCATCCAAGTCTCAACTCCAATGCCAACCTCTTCAAGTCTCCTGAATCTCCCACCGAACACAACCCTAGCTCAGCCAATTTTCTTGGGCTTTCTCCGGATTTTCTACCTTTTAGAATGTTTATTCGTATACATATCTTATCTCCTTTCCTAGACGGCGACCTCTTTGAGGGCCGGAGGAACTCGGATTTTCCCCGTTACCACCCATGACACCAGATAATGCGGGTTTATTGGTTGGATAAATGGGAAGGGGAGGAGGGAGATGGGCGTGCGACTGAGCGGACAAATTCAATACAGGGGAAGAATGAGCCAGAGAACCCGGTGAAGATCCGCAATCGCAGGGTCAGAGAAGACAATCCGAAAACCGCAGTCAAGAGCCGCGTCGCAGCCTTGCTTTGAGGACCTCACTCCAGGACCTCACTCCGCGGCTGTCCTTTCCAAAACCTGACTCAATCCTGCAGCTGGACCTCGGCAAAAACCTTCACCCCCTCGGCCCCGACGTGAGGCCGAGCCTGTAGCTACATGTGTTCTTTCCTCCCTTGCGGTTGTTTCTCGTTCTCCTCCATCCCACAACCTCAGTCAGTGAGGCGCGATCAAGGGCGCCCTAACCAGAGGGGAGAGGCGGGGTGGGTCCTGCGACCGGAAACAGGAAGCCGGAAGCCGGAAGCCGGAAGGGAAGCTTTGAGGACGTGTTCTGAGGAAGCCAGAGGCCGGGCCGGTAGGGCCGGCGACATGGAGCCACTGTACCAACAAACGCACAAGTGAGGGCAGCGTCGGGGAGCGGGCGGAGGCTAGGCCAGGCGAGGCCGGCCCCTGGGGCTGGGGTCTCGGGCGGACACCCGTGTACAGGCCGAGCCCTTCCGCCGGGAAAGCTCGGAAGTTCTCAACCCCTGGCGGGATGCCCGCTCAGCCTGGGGCTCCGGAGACGTTGGGCCGAAGGACCTCTGGGGTCTGCAAGCTGTGACTGCCTGTCGAGTGGACTGGGCGAAGGGGTAGTAGCACTTGCAGGTCGTAGTACTTCCTCCAGCACCTGGCAACTCGGTGCTTCGGGTTGGTAGAGTTTGGGGGAGAACGGAGCAGACGCGGCTCCTCGCCCCTAGGAGTTAACTAAACCGTGGTGAAGGCGAAGAGTCAGGGGAATAATGAAAAGTTATTTTTATTCTGATTTTGATTAAGTTTTTTAATATAAAGAAATTACCATACAGGTAGCATTCACAGTGTTTGTCAGTCATATCTGATTACAGCTTACCTTTAAGAAATATAATTGACTTAGTTTCTCATAGCTAAAATTCCTCGGTGTGTCCTTTAGTCATATTGCCCTGCATTGTTGGAAGTAGTTGAGTATGGTGATGTGGAACCATACCTATCCTATTTAAAAAAAAAAAAATATGTTTAGTTTTCTTTTGTAAAATATACGTAACAAAATTTCCCATGTTAACTCTTTTTAAGCGTATGATTCTGTGATATTAAGTACAGAATTACACCACCACTATACATTTCCAGAACTTTTTCACCAACCTAAACAGAAACTCAGTACCTACTAAGTAGTAACTCCCTATTCCTCCTATCCAGAGCCTCAAGTAAATTTGATTCTATTTTCTGAAGTGAAATCATACAATTTCTCTCTCTCTTTTTTTTTTGGGGGGGGGGGCCTGGCTTATTTCTGGTGGCATGTTTTTCAAGGTTCAATATTGTAGCACGTATCAGAATTTCATTCCTTTTTGTGACTGAATAATATTTCATTATATGTTAGGGATGGCATTTTGTTGTCTGTTTATCCATTGATGGACACTCCACCTTTGGCTATTGAGAATGATGTTATTATTAGTGTTAAAGTATCTATTTTCGTCCATTTTCAATTTTTTGAGATGTATACCTATACCTATCCTATTTTAAGAACTTTCAGATATATGCTATCATTTTGATGTAGTGGAAACATTTAAAATCACACTCGCTAGGCCTGGAAATGAAATAAAATTCACTAAGGAGAATTCACAACAAGCTTAAGCATTAGGAATAAGAGGATGATGATTCTCTTACTCTTCATGCTTTGTGTGTGTGTGCTCGCTCACTCGCTCTCTCTTTCTCTCTTTTAGTGCTGGGAATTAAACTCAGGGGTATTCTTTTTTTAATATATATTTTTATTTGTTATACATGACAGTGCATTTTGACACATCATATATGAATGTAATATGACTTCTCATTTGTCTGGTTGTACATTATGTAGAGTTACACAGTTTATGTAATCATGTATGCACATAGGGTAATAATGTCTGATTCATTCTACTATCTTTCTGACCCCCATGCCCCCTTCCTTCCCCTCACTCTTCTCTGTGTAGTCCAAAATATCTCTATCTTTACCCCCCCATTATGAATTAGCATCTGCATATCAGAGAAAACATCTGGCCTTTGGTTTTTTGAGATTGGCTTATTTCACTTAGCATAATATTCTTCAGTTCCAACCATTTACCAGCAAGTGCCATAATTTCATTCTTCTTTAAGAGAATTCTTATCACTGAGCCATCAATCCTTTTTATTTTTTATTTTGTGACAAGTGCTAAGTTGCCCAGGCTGTCCTCAGCTTCCAAGTAGCTGAGATTACAGGAGTGCACCACTGTGCCTCGCTAGCCCTTTATTTTCCAATTTTATGGGTTTCTTGCACTTTACTTTGGCAATGAAATGTTTGATTTGGGTGGAGGAAAATACAGAAACTACTTTGTAATGACAGAATTTGCATTTGCCCTGGGGAACCTTATTCTTAAATAAAAATTGTAGGAAGGAACTTTAAAAAATTACCCTGTGAGTCATTTAGAAAAGGAATAAAACAGCTGGGCTGAGTGGCAGCACATGCCTATGATCCCAGCAACTCTCGGGGCTGAGGCAGGAGGATTGCAGATTCTAGGTCAGGATATAGTTCAGTGGCAAAGTTCCCCTTGGCTGAATCTCCAGCACCAAAAAAAAAAAAAGAATGAAACAAAATTATGTTTGTGTTACTAAGAAAGGGCAGATCTTTTACAGTAGCAAGTTTCAGTGGGCTTTACAGTGCTTTAAAGTTAATAATATGCTAGTTGCTGAATTGACACAGTAGTAACAACATTAATTTTTCTGGAACTTTGAACCCCATTTGTGATTTATCTCTTGTCATGTGCATAAATCAGCACTTTATCTTGAAAACTGAACTATCTGAACAATGAATGAATGAAAAAAAGAGATTAAAAAACAATAAATATTGTACACTTAAATAATATTTCATAAAGGCTAACTTTATATAGGGCTAGTGGCCGGGTTTTTGAGATTCCAGTGGTTGTAACAGTGCCCATGTTTGTCCCCTGTGTAGTTCAGATCATCCTCCTGTAGGTCTGAGGCATGAGAAGCTCTGATCAAATAAGTTTTCCAAGTGATTTTTTAAAAAAATCTTTATTTTAGACATTGATGGACCTTTATTTTATTCATTTATTTTAATACAGTGCTGAGAATGGAACCCAGTGCCTCACGCATATGGGCAAGTGCTCTACCACTGAGTCACAACCCCAGCCCCTTCAAAGTGATTTTGATGAGCACCTGGGTTTAAGAATTTTTACATATCTCAAAAGCATTTTTTTTCTTTTCAATTTTGCATTCTCATGATGTAAAGACAGTAGATGGAGTTGTGGAATTAAAAATGACTAGGTGGTTCCCATTACTTTAAGTAAAATAAAATAAAAAACACATTACGCAAGGCTGTGTATGTTGTATAGCATTTTCATATTGCGTTGGGTTCTATAATCCTTTGGATAATCATTACTATTAGTATCCCTACTTTATAGTTGAGACTGAGACACCTAGAAATTAAATGACTTTGTCCCTGAGCTTGTACATAGTGAAACTAGACCTTTAACCCAGATCCTTTAACTCCCGAACCCTGTTTCCTGCTGGTATTGGTGGGAGGCAGCATGCTTGCAAAGTGGCTCTGTGTGGTGGATCATTTTGTGGAAGACTGGTTTCATTTAAAACCCTTCCTACATCCTTTGTAAACCTTTTTATGTTTTATTTTTTTAAGCAGCAACAGTGCCCCTTGCTTACTTTCTTCTAGGTCTTTGCTTGGTTATTATTATCACCCAAGCCTGTTGTGGACCCCATGCTAAACAGGGCTAAAACTTCTTTTTTCTCATATCTACCCTCTCAGGTCATACTTATGTGTCATCTATTCTTTATCGTGTATTATCTGAATTCCCAGTTTAGTTTAAAACAGATTTTCCACTTATCATATTGTAGTTCCCACCATGCCTGTCGGATTTGTGTTATTATTTTGTTGTTGTTGTTTTGCATTTATTTCTTAGCATGGAATGAATCTAGAGATTGGAATCATGTAGGCTGTATCTTCTCTAATTCATTCAAAGCAATTAGAAACTAAATGGGAGAAGTAGTAATTTTTTTGCAAATTTTTAAAGTTTATCCTTTTAGCTTACAAAACCAAAGTTAGTAAAAGTATGTTTTTGAGGTATTATTAACGTCTCTCCTGCTGTCTTATACAATCTAAGACATGAAAGGGATTGGAACAATTTTCCACTCCAACTCTAACTTTGGTCTAAAAGACCTTTGTAAGACAGTCTATGTAATCTATGTTTAAATATGAAGTGACCTACCATATAATCCCGGTGACTCAGGATGCTAAGGCAGGAGAATTGCAAGTTCAAAGCTAGCAACTCATGAGACCTGTCTCAAGATAAAAATAAAAAGGGCTGGGGGATGTGGTTCATTGGTTAAGTGCCTCCGGGTTTAATCCCTGGTACAAAAATGTGTGTGTGTGTGTGTGTGTGTGTGTGTGTATACACATACATATATATGGAATGATCTATCCCTGCCCTTTTTTTTTTTTTTTTTTTGGTACCAGGAATTGAACTCAGGAGGACTTGACCATTGAGTCAAATCCCCAGCCCTATTTTGTATTTTTTATTTAGAGACATAGACAGTGTCTCACTGAGTTGCTTAGCACCTCACTGTTGCTGAGGCTGGCTTTGTACTTGCGATCCTCCTGCCTCAGCCTCCTAAGCCACTGGGGTTACAGGGGTGCGTCACCACGCCCAGCTCTCTTTTCTTTTCTTGAAGAGAGTTCATAAGTGTTCCGTGTTCTTGTTTTTTTTCCTATCAAGCTGAAATCTGTTGTCTTGAAAACATGGGCCTTTTGGTTCTGGGTCTCCCTGAAGAAGCAGCAACAGGGAGCAAGCCCATTTCTCCCCTCTTGTGTCAATATTTGAAGAACACCAGCTACCCCATTTTAGTGAGTTTTTCTTTCTTTTCCCAGAGACTTGGTATCATGAGCTCTTTGGACCATCATTTGACTTCTGAACTCTGGTCATCCTCCTCATTGTCTATTGGGGAAAACCTTTAACAGATGACTCCCAGAATTGAATGCCAGTCTATATTTGTTCACTTAAAAAAAAAAAAAATTAAAGGCAGAGTATTTTTTTTTCCTTGACACATTTTCATTATACTGTTTAAACAAAATGAAAATGTTAGTATTTTTTTTTGTCATAGAACATTGTATATGTGAACTTCATAATCATAAGTTGATTTAAAAAAAATGAACAAAAAACTCAAGGCAGGGGCTGGGTTTGTGGCTCAGTGGTAGAGTGCTCGCCTAGCATGCACGAGGCACTGAGTTCTATCCTCAGCACCACATAAAAATGAAATAAAGATATTGTGTCCACCTAAAACTTAACAATAAATATTAAAAACAAACAAACAAACTCTAAGGCAGCCCATGATGAACACTAGAAATCTTCCCTAGTATCCCTTGTTCCCTTGTGTGTCATTGTTTGGCCTGTTGTGAATCCCTCAATCTGTAGTATCATCAAGAAATATTTATCATAAGATATTAGAAACTACCATTTCCTCTTAAAATCAACACCAATTTGCTGTAGCCTTCTCACTGTAGACATATCTGTGGTTTCATTTCCTAATTGCCCATGGACCATTGTGCATGGTCTGTTTAATGTGTGAATGAATGAATGATCCTCATTAACCATTGACTTGACATTTTAAAAAAACTTCTATTTATTCTATTTATGAAATACTTCAAACAAAGATAGAGAATAACAAAACTCATGTCAGGACTCATTAATACCTGTTGTTTTGCTGACAATATATGTCTAGCCTCATTCTACCTAGGGATTCTACAGGGAAATGTCAATTGTGTTGCCTTTTGTCTTACCCATATGGGTTTGAGTTTTTTCAAGTGTCAGGTTTTTCTTGCAAATTCAATTCTGATGTATATTTTTATAGAATAATTATTGCTTGATTCTAAAATATGTTTTCAAATGCTGTTATTTGTACTTGAGTTTGTCTTAAATCCATTTTCCTTTTTTTAATGGAGTTTAGAAAAAATAAGCCTAATCATTTTGTTTGGGGAAAAAAAAAAAAAAAGGTGCTTTACATTATTGATTTAGAGACAGAAGTTAAATTAAAAGCTCCACACCTGTTCTTGTTCCTCAGCCCTAAAGATAGCCACCCTCTTATCCATTATTTTATTCTTCTTCCTATATTTGTATCCACAAGCAATATATATTACTGTTTGATGTGTTTTTTAGTTTAATTTTAATTTTTTAAAAAAGATACTGATGTATTAGAGTTTAATATTGTCTTTTCTTAAAGACTTATTGTCTGTGTTAATATGCATAGGTCTCTTTTATTTAAACTGCTTGTATAGTTTAATTAAACTGCCGAATTACTAATTTCCTTTTTGATGAACACTTGGATTGTAACTTTTTTTTTTTTTTTTTTGCTATAAAAGTCCACAGTCTTTTATCTGAAATCCTTAGGAACAAACCACTTTGGAATTCAAGTGTGTTGCAGCTTTTAGGAAAGAGATGAGGAACATGTATCCTATATCATGTTACATCCCAAACATCAGGGCACCACAGGATACATGAAAAACTGCTGTAAAATTTTACACTTTGTGGAATAAACAAAGACCTTAGATTCATGTCTGATCATTTTTCACCACTGAATTAATTTGCTATAGACTTATAAAAAATTAGGAATTTGAGAACATTTTGAATTTTAGAATTATTCATGGTGGGTTATGGGCCTGGATGAACAGCTGTTGCAAATGCCTCCTCATTGTATGCCAGATCTCTCTGGCATCAGACATATTGCTAGAAGTAGAATGTGAGGTCATAGAGTAGATGTCTACTGATTCTACTAGATGTTGTCAGAAAGCCATGAAAGTGTTCTACCAGTTCATAATCCTACCAGCCATGTATGAGAGTTCTAGTTCCCCACATCCATGTCAGTTGTATGTTCCCACACTTTAAACTACTTGTCAGTCTGAGAGGAGCATTGTTTTTGACATGTTTTCCTGAGTTACTAGTAATGTCTAGCATCTCTTCATAGAGTTATTGGCCATATGGCTTTCCTTTTCTTTCATTTACCCTTTGCTATTAAAAAATTTCTTTGTTTGGCTTTTCCTGTTGATTTGGAGCAATTCTTTATATATTCTGGACATTGATCCTTTGTTATCTACTGCAGCTATCTTCCAGTCTGCCGTCTTTTAATTTTTTGGGGGGGGTACTAAAGAGTGACTGGGATGCCACTGAGCCACATCCCTAGTCCTTTTTATTTTTTTAAATTTTGAAACAGGGTCTCACTAAGTTGTTAGGGTCTCATTAAATTGCTGAAGCTGGCCTTGAACATATTATCATCCTCTTGCCTTAGCCTCCTGAGCCACTGGGATTATAGGTGTGCACCATCATGCCTGGCCTTTAAATTGTTCTTTGTGGTGCTTTCGGTATAAAGAAGTTGTTTCATTTTAATGTCAAAATTTCCAGTCTTCTCCTTTGAGGTGATTTTTGGGTTTTGTCATTAAAAATCCTTCTTTAACCTGAGGCATTTATGTATGCCTGTATTTTCTTCAGAAAGTTTGAAAGCCTTGCTTTTTATATTTAGGTGTTAAGCCACCTTGAGTTTTTGTGTGTGTTTCATAAAGTGTCTTTTTTTCTATATGGATAATAAATTGAGTTTTCAGCATGTATTGTAGTCCATTATTTTTCAACTGATTTATGTCACCAACTTCCCAAATACGTGGGACCATTTCCTCTTAGGGCAAGGTTAGGGTTTGTCTATCTTTGTCCATATGACCCTGCACTGCTACCATATTTTAATTATTATGGCTCTGTAATAAGTCTCTTTGGGTGAGTACCAGGGATTGAACTCAGGGGCACTTGACCACTGAGCCACATCCCCAGCCCTAGTTTGTATTTTATTTAGAGACAGGGTCTCACTGAGTTGCGTAATGCCTTGCCTTTGAACTCATGATCCTCTTGCCTCAGAGCCCCGAGGATTACAGGTGTGCACCATGTCGCCCGGCTATAATAGGTCTTAATAACAGGAGTGATAGGTTGTCCCTCCACATGTCTTCAGAGTCATCTTGGCTGGTTTTTGCTCCCGTCCCAGTTTTTTGTATTTTTATGTTGTTGTTCCTGCTGATAATGCTGAAAACTTTCTGATTTGCTTTATTAAGGCACCCTTGAAAATTTACCTGCCTACATCCAGGCCTTCAGTAAAGTCCTAATTCTGCTGTCTTCTGTTGCCATTCTCTTAGTTACCCTGATCCAGATGTTCCACATGGTGATTCCACGTGGTCAAACTGCATTTCTGTATCAGCCTCCATACCTCCACATCCCCTCATTCCAAAATATCCTGGACTTACCTTACTGAAGCAGCTGTCTGGTTGCAGACTCTAGTAGTGATTTCTAGCTGCAGTCTTGCCTAGGAACACTCTGGAAGTTCTTAGACAGGTGGCCTAGCTTCTGGTGTCCTGAGTTATGTTTAGAAGCCACAAGGAGGCCCCAGAAAAACTGGATGCAAGCTTAAACCAAAGTTGAGCTCCTGGCTGTCATTGGTAAATTTAGGGTAACAGTCAATTGTTCTCACCATGAAGGAAGATTAGTGACCTTTTCCTTCAGGCCTGGGGATGAGGCCATTTTCACTTGGGCTTCAATATGAAGAGACTGTAAGCTCCAGGAGGTGGTTATGGGGGCTAGCATAAGTAATATTTCAGGGACTGATGATGGGGGACTACTAAGAAGTGTTCTGAGGTTGACCTTGGCCAAGTTCTGAAAAGCCTCCAGAGTGCTCTGGTGCCTGGTATCTGGGATCCTGTTGCATTTCCAAATCAGATGGTAGTCTCTCTTCCTATTGCCAGGGAAGGATGTTTACCAAACAGGAGATCCTGTCTTTCAGGCCTTCCTCTGCATGGTTTCCTCATCCTCCTCTCCGACCAACTCTCCTTCAAGTAGGCCACCCTGCTAGTGACCCACACAGCATGCCTTGTGTGCATTTTGGCATATCATTTTCTTAATATCTCCCTTCACTAAATCATGTCTTTCTTTAAAGTGCTGCTCTGAACTCTTTCATTCACAAAAGTTCCCAGCTTACACTTTCTCAGCCTCAGCCCTTCTATTTGCTTTTGCTTTACACCACTGTGCAAATCTCCTCAACTTTCTGTTTGTTTACATTTATGTGTGTTGGTTTTCTTGTAAATCTTCTCAGAGCTTTTTCATGTCTATCTGGCCTGTCATTCCTAATTACAGTGTTTCTCAAGGACAGGGATTCTATCTCTCTTGCCCTTTGACTCTTGTTAGTACACACCAGTGCTCAGCACATTAGGTCATAGAGCAGATAGTGGGATTGGTTGGATCTCTGAGTTTATCACTTGCTGTGTGACCTCGAACAAGTTACATAACCTTTCTGGTTTCAGTCATCTTATTTATAAAATGAGGACAATGATAGTACTTTCTTCACAGGGTTATTGACTTAGCAGTGTGTCTTGGATACAGTATGCACTCACTAAATGCTGCCTATCAGTATTATAAATATTAGTGTTTGGCTATTAGAAACATGTGGCCCAAAGCATCACATACAAATTTTTCAGTTCAGTGGTGCTGTCAGTTTAAATCAGTTACATGTTGGCATCAGAAAAATTGTCTTTCTTCACTGAAGTGCTGTTGATTATTCCTGTCTCACTCATTTCCTCCCTCTTCCTTTGATAGGCAGGTCCACGAGATCCAGTCTCACATGGGACGCCTGGAGACGGCAGACAAGCAGTCTCTGCACTGTGAGTAATTAACTATGGAGACCAGAGTCCTTTCTCTGATGACACGGTGCTAATGGGCTGGGTTTCCTGACTGCGTTCTGCCTCAGGGCTTAATGATTCAGTGTGGAATGAATTTTGTTGTTAGGGTAGACAAAAAAACCCTATGGCAAAGTCACTGATTTCCTTGATTGTGCCCTTTGGAATCCCACAAGTCTTATCCCCCATTACCCCTCCACTCAACCTGACATGGCCCTATGGGAATGGAAGTTCTTTCCCCTCATCTGTCTTAATCTAATTACCTAGTCCTTAGAGGAATGCACTCCTTAAAAATTCAGAGATGTTTAACTGGGATTGGCCATTTCTTCTAAGCTGAGAACTCTGGCTTTTTAGGAGGATTATTCAGAAACGAATAGCAATATTAATTAGTTTAGTTCCCACACCGTTGTTTCCTTTGAGAAACTTGCTGGGTTTTGTTATTTGGCTTTATTCTGTTCCAAGAAAGGGCCCCTTTTCTGGGTCAACATGCAGACACTTCTGCAGAAGCTCCTGTCACCTCACTGCCTGGCTCTTGCCATGCCATGTCTCGGTCTCTGCCACAGCTCGGAGCACCTTTTCTCTTGGCTCTGTGCCCCACAGCATCTTAATTTCAACTGTTCGTGTTTGCTGCATTCGCAGAGACCTAGGAAGGGGCAGTCAGTGCCCCTGCTGACGCTTCTTGGTGGGGCAAGGAGCCTGTACTTTTTTTGTGAGTGTGCATAGTTCGGTTTCTGTCCACTAGACTTTGTTTGCCTTCCCAGCAATCTCATTGTTACATGATTAGAAATGGAAAAGAGATCATTTTGACTGTCTTTATCAAAAGAGATAAGGAAAATAACTCTACTTTTCATATCTTTTTACCTCTGGATTCTTTCCTAGGCCTTTCCTGTTGATATTTGATCTATTTTGGGGGCTTCGGTATAGCTCAGCCCACCCATTCTTACAGAAAGCCTTAAGGGAACTCTTCTCCTTATGTTTCCATACTAATCTTCTCTTTCCTTTGTGCCTTTTTTTAACTTTATTACTGTAAAATTGGCATTCTTTTTACTAGGTATTTTTTTATATCTGAGACCTATCTCAAAGGAAAAGAGACCTACATAAGAAAACTTAGCTTAAAATATTTATTTGAACAACCTTTTAATGTTTTATTTTCTAAAAGTATATCTCTATAGATCTACCTTTAGCTTTTAAAAAATTGTCATTGTGATGGCATTAACAGGTGTGTGTGTGTGTGTGTGTTTGAAACAATGCTTTTAGCATATCTTGGATTTTCTTCCATTATTCATTTGTGTATACATTCGTCTCCTTTTGAAATACATTATTAGTTTATTGGATATGGGGAAAATATGTTTGGTTTATCATTCTAATTTAAGTTCACTATCTTTTCCAGCATTTATTCTTTTTTTCTCTTTTGTGCAGTAGTAGAAAATGAAATCCAAGCAAGCATAGACCAGATATTCAGCCATCTAGAACGTTTGGAGATTTTGTCCAGCAAGGAACCCCCTAACAAAAGACAGAATGCCAAACTGTAAGTGCTGACCTCTGACACTGCCCTTATCCCCAGGCTACCAGGGAAGGCCTTCCTTCCAGGGAGGTGGTAGAATATTCTGAAAATACATGAACATGTTGAAAAACTAAGTGCAAAGATAAATTCCCCCAACAGGCACAATTCTTGAGTATTATCCCTTCAGAGTCAAAGCCTGTGAGGTCTCTTGTAAGGTCTCTTGAAATATAGTACCTCCTTGGTGGTGTTTTGGAATTTTGCCTCCAGTTCTGTTTTCTGATGAGACCTCTAACCACTTGAAGCCTGATATTGTCAGGGAGTTTGGCTCTGCTCTTTGATTCCCACTGGATTCTTGTTTGAAATGAAATCATGCTCTTACTTCAATCAGTCTTGTTTATAATGAAATACTGATCTAACGTTTGATACTCCACCATGAAATTAAAATGAAACCACCCTCAACGCCTTCACCCAGCCCCTGCTTGCTCCTAAAACTTTTATGAAACTTCATTGATGCTTTGCCTCAAAGATGCCCTTGGGCTTCTTCCAGGAGAGCGATATAATCCATAGAAGGTCAGGAAGGGGTCATCAAACCTGCTTCCTGTCACCTGTTCCCTATCATGCATCCAGAATCAGAAACCAGCAGGTGAATCTTGTGTGTGAGCACCCACTTTAACTTCAAGCCTCTTCTTTACTTTCAACATCATTGATTCACATCACATTTCAGGGGGTGGTGTAGGGAAAAGTAAGGAAATGTCCTCTGTCCTGAATACAAGGCCTGGCTGCCTCAAATTGTGCTGCACTGGGTTCCTAGAATTTAATCTCTCTCTTCATTGATTCCAGTCGAGTTGACCAGTTAAAGTATGATGTCCAGCACCTGCAGACTGCTCTCAGAAACTTCCAGCACCGACGCTATGCCAGGGAGCAGCAGGAGAGACAGCGAGAGGAGCTTCTGTCTCGTACCTTCACCACTAATGTAAGCCAGGCTCCTAGGGGGTCGGCAGGTGCTCAACAGATTGTTGGGGCTGAGCTCAGGTCGCTGAGCTTTATCTTTGTAGGAGGACATCTAAAACAGACTGACATGGAGGAGACCAACTGGAAATGACAGGGGACTTTGTGTATTGCCACTGATACTAAATCTAGACTGGAATTTCTTTTTTTTCAATCAGAAACCTGAAGAGGAAGCAGTTAAATTGAGGGATGGGCAGAGGTGAAAATTACCTGGTTCAGCTGTCCAGTGCACAGAGGTGAAAGTTCACATGGTCGAAATGTTTTTGTCATCAGATAGAGACAGATGATTAGAACTAAGGCCACTGGTAGAAAAGGCAGCATTTCAAAGCTGCCTCCAGGCAGTTGTTGTTATGCTGTGTATGTGTGTGGTTCCAGTGTCAGATGCATTAAAATGTTTTTGCCTGTAGTCGGAACAGCAATTTAGAGGAATTTGTTAACAGATGTTTAGTGTTGGATGGACTGCTTGGCTCGAGTCTGAAAATGGCCTGATGGTTTGCATATTTCATTTCTTAGACACTGTTGTCCCTGTCCTTTAGTCTTGATAGGATCAGTCCCTGCACATGTTTGCAGAACATAACTGGCCTTTTCTGTGACCTGCATAACATGTTTCACCAAATGAGGTGGGTCTGGGGTTTTTATATTTTGTTCCTTATTAGAGGGGTTTATTTTCTAGAGAGGTGTCAGCTTCCTAAGCCTGTTACTGGAATCCACATCATTTCCTGCTTTGCAGATGTTAAACTCTTACTGCTCCATCCATGCATTGCAGGAAATTCCCTTCAGTGCGTCAGAATGTGCCTCCACAAGTGTTATTTCTCCAGGATAAGCAGTCAGGTCAGAATGACCAACAGTTCAAAAATGTAATGCTCTATAAAGACACATTAAATGTTGTTGTGTGGGCTTTTGATAGTTATGGTATTGCATCAGGCATGTTTTAGGCTAGGGATATCTCTCAGGATTATTTTGTTACTTACCAGCCTGATGTGACTGTGCATACAGTAGGCCCTTAGTAAACATTGACTTGCCAAAGGAAACTTCTTCTTGGTCACATTGCCATCTGGAGCTATAATACGTGTGCCTGGGAGATAATGACCTATCAGTGATACTTTTCTGGTAGGAAGGTAAGAAAGATTTGCACATAAAAGGCATTCAATAAATTCTTATCAAGTAAATGAAGAGAAGTCTGTCATTGATTTTTTTTTTTTTTTTTTGGTGGGGGGCAGTACTGGGGATTGAACCCAAGTACACTTTACCACTGAACTATGTCCGCAGCCCTTTGTTTCTTTCTTATTTATTTATTTGTTTATTTTGAGATAGTCTCAGTAAGTTGCTGAGGCTGGCCTCAGACTTGCAATCCTCCTGCCTCAGCGTCTTGACCTGCTGGGATTATAGGTATGTGCCACTGCACCCAGCTTATTGATATTTTTTTCCAAACACTGGAGTCCTTTGACCCAGAGCATTAGCTCTGTGTAGAACACTAAGGTGCTGAGAGCTAACTGTGAGAAAACTAATAAAATGATTCCTTCAGCTGTGCCACTCCTGGAGGAGTTATTGAAAATTTGCATGTGAGAGATAGTTCTGAACTTGTGGAGCAGAGAAAAGAAGGCTTAATCTCTTTACCATCAGGAACTGAGGTGTAGATGGTCAAAACAGCATTGCTTGGCAGGAGTTTGGGCAAGTCAGAAGTTGGGAAGGAGAAGAGAACATTGTCACATGGTGATGACTTGCTTCTGTACACAGTCCACTTTTAGGGTGAAATGAGAGCCATGAGGATTGATCATGGTCTCTCTTCTGTGTGTGTGGTTGAGAGAGAGCAGGCCTTGCATTTAGTACCAGGATTCCTGTCGTACTGGCTTCTTACCAGCTGTATGATCTTGGACGAGTTATTCTTCTTTCTGCAGTTTGTTTCTTCATCTGTGAAATGAGGATAATAATGCACAGAATGAGGATAGAGTGAGTTTACAGTAATGAGTCTGTATAGTAAGAAAGCTTTTGATCAGTACAGGTTGAGCATCCTTAATCTGAAAATCCAAAATCTGAAATGCTGCAAAACCTAAAGAAGCATTTTGGATTAGGACCACTCACCTGGTACAATACTCAACCTGTATTCTTTTTTTTTTTCCCCCTTTCTCCATTTTTTAGCATTTTTCTTGCCTACTTTGGAGTGTATTCCCATCCTGAACACCATTAGCCTTCAATAAAAAGCATAGGCTCTTTGATTCTTAGTCTCAATCTAATTGGAGGGGGGATAAGCTATAGATAAAATAGCTGAAGAACAAAAGCAAACATTTAATGCTGCATTAAGGGGAAGCCAAGTCAGGGACTTTTGGAACACCTTTCTTAGTAGTCAGAGAAAGCTTTTACAAGAAATGTAATGAGATCTTGAAGGAATAGGTTTTCCTAAGAAATGATACAGAGGCAGAAATCAGCAATAATTGGGTAACAGAAGAGTGACAGTTCTGAGGAAACAAGCTTGTTCTTTGTAAACGGAGGCCTCCGACACTTTGCTTTTTCTTCCCCATTGGGTTCTCTGATTCTTGCATCATTCCCTCTGGCTGTTCTGGCTTGGCCTTGGCTGCAAGGCAGAACACTCAGAAGCAGTGGGACCCCTGGAGCTGACTAGCAAGCATAGTTAATCAAGTGCCTGCGTTTCTTTCACAGGACTCTGCCACCACCATACCAATGGACGAATCACTGCAGTTTAACTCCTCCCTCCACAACATTCACCACGGCATGGATGACCTCATTGGAGGCGGGCACAGTATTCTGGAGGGACTGAGGGCCCAGAGACTGACCTTGAAGGTGGGGTCCCTCCTGGAGAACAGGGAGAAGGCCTTTTGTTTTGGCCTCATCCAACAGTTTGAAACTGTTTACATTTTGATTATGTGTCCCCAAATTGTGATATTGTAACAGCACGGAGTTTTCTATTTGAAAACACTTGAGTTTTCGATTCTTCCTGTTGGAGTTGGATTTCTATAAGCACTAGAGTAACCAAATTCCTGAGCCATAAAGTGGCCTCTCTTGGTATCCAGGTCTTTCCCCATCTATTGAACCTACATGGAATTGACTGCTACAACAGGGGGACAAGTAATAGGCTGAGAAGATCTGATATAGAATCTGCTCTGTTCAGATGAAGACGAAGCTGCACCCTAGCTGGCTTTCCCTTAGGATCTCAACTATGCACTGTCTTACTGCAGTCCTGAATTCCCATGGGTGGGTCTTTGGGTTGCCTAAAACTGCAGTAGATAGTTTCACAGTAAATCACTTCTAAGCTTCTAGAGCACATAGTGAGGATTCTCAGTGACTCTTCATTCTCATTAGCTGTAGGGATTCCTAGAAGCCCTGTCCTGTTGGCATTAAGATTCTGACCCCCTGGGAGTGGTTTACAGGAACATGACACAGACTCTGTGTCATGCCCTTTTCCTGTGTCAGCCCTGATGGCTGATGGGGTGTGGGCTTTGCCTGTTATCAGGGTGTGGCCCCTGTAATGAAGAACTCCCATCCACTGAGCTGTGAGAAACTGTCGCTCAAAAGTGTGAGCTTTATCTTAGTTTTTGTTGGACCCCATGGAGCCTGTCTGCTCTGCAGGACTCTACATGTCTGAACAGCCCCCTCCATCCTTACCAGGGAGAGGGTCAGGTGAGCCAGAGACATTACTCCCCACCCCCCCTTGCTGACAGTTGCAGCAATTTCAGTACTAATTTAACCAGGTACTTGTTGGTGAGCCTACTCTTTCTATAAAGAACTGCTGCTCTCTTTTCCATACCTCAGCTGAAGAGTAGAGCCCTTTTAGGACAAGACTCCATGTCACACTAATGGAAGAGCCAGTGGGGGGTAGAGCTTTATTATTAAAGCAAAGGTTAGCTTCCTTGAAGTCTTGTGGCACTGAGGAGCCCACCCACCTTCTGCCACCTGCAGTGATGAAGTGCTGGGGAGCCTGTCTAGGCGTTGGGGGTTGCACCTCAAAGTTTCTAGCTCACTTTGCTCTGCACACCTAGTCTGTAGCTGTCTTTTGCCTCTTGATTCCTTCCACCTGCCTCTGTCAGGGACTTTTCTGCCTAAATCATTTGAAAGTAATGCTGGAAAGAACATGAAGGAACTGGGCTGAAGCACCCTAATGATTAAGGCCAGTTCATGTTTGAAAATACTTATTTTTTTTGAAAGGTACAGTTACTTTTAGGTGATTTTAGAAATTTGATTCTTGAACCTCACATTGATTAGCCTGTACTTCAGCACTCAGCAGGCTCTTCAGCAAGAAGCTCGTTTTCACTGTCACCTTTCATGTCTTCTCTAGTAGCAAACAAGTTTAACCTGAGTCTGTGCGCATTCTCCATCTGTATTTTTTTGTTTTTTAAATATTTTGCAGTGCTGTGGATGGAATCCTGGGCCTTAAACACTAGGCAGGTGCTCTGCCCTGAGCCTCACCCCAGCCCTGGAGATCTCTTCACAAGGCTGGTTAATCCTTGTGTGGGCAGAATGTCGGCTCTGAATTTCTGTCAATGATGCCTCCTGTTCCTCTTTCTTCCTTGGCCTTTTCTCTTAGTCTCTTATGAATGTGTGTTCATTTAAGAAAGATGGCGCAAGCCTGTAATTCCAGCAGCTCAAGAGGCTGAGGCAGGAGGATCACAAGTTCAAAGCCAGCCTCAGCAACTTAGTGAGGCCCTAAGCAACTTAGCAAGATCCTGTCTCAGTATAAAAAAGGGTTGGTGATGTGGCTCAGTGATTGAGCACCCCGGGGTTTAATCCCTGGTATTAAAAAAAAAAAGTGGGAGCCACAATGGCACATATCTGTAATCTCATCTGCTAGTACTGGAGTCTGAGACAGGAGAATTTTTAGTTCAAGGCCAGCCTCTGCAACTTAGACCTTCCTTGTCTTGAAAAATAAAAAGGACTAGGGATGTAGCACAGTGGTAGAGCACTCCTAGGTTTGATCCCTAGTACCAGGAAGGGAAAAAAGAAAGAATGGATGTGGGTAAGTCGTATCCATCCGTCCGAGTATAATGAGTGACTTGTGAATATAAGTAACTTGGGGTCTGCCTCTGCATTCATTTATACTTGTTATACCTAGGAGAAATATTTTTAAAAATATATTTAAAAAACAAATTCATAAACGTTCTTAAAAATTAGAAAGCAGAAAGAAAGGTAGGCTGGATGGTTTGGGCTGTTGATTTAGGAATAAAATATCCTTTTGTTTTGGTGGCAACATTTATATAAGGGGCTTTTGGTCTTTGTGTTGGTGTCTGCTGCATTTCCATCTTTTCCCACTTCATACCCCTCATAAATGTGGACTTTGACCCACACATTATACTCAGTAGAATCCCTGAAGATTCTGCTCTACACAGTGGGCAGATTAGTATCAAGGATTATTGGAGGTAGGGAGCCAAGGGAGAGTTTTTCAATGTGGTCTCTAAAATATATATTGAATTTTAAATTTAAAAAATACTTATATTTAAATTTGAAAATACTTATATTTTTTGAAAGGTATAATAGTTATTGAAGTGTAGTTTATATTGTGAGGCATACAGAGCTTATTTGTATAGTTCAGTACATTTTGACAAAAGCATCATGCTCGTACTCCTATCAAGTTACAGACTGTTTTTATCACCCCTGAAAGATCCCTTTGCCCCTCCTAGTCAAACTATCCCAGGCAACCACCATTCTGATTTATTTCACCTGTAATTAGTTTTGCCTGTTACTGAATTCATATAACCATTCATACTACTATTTTATGTGTGCTACCCTCCTCTGATATTTTTGAGGTTGGTTCATGTAGTTACATGTTTGGTTATGGGTGGCAACTAGATACCTTTTATTGCTGAACAGTATTCCACTGTGCAGATAAAATGTGATATGTGTATCCATCCTGTGGGTGATGGGTACTTGAATTGTTTCCGGTTTTTAGATATCTTCCTGTGATATGTATGATATATGTGTGTGTGTGTGTGTGTGTGTGTATGCGTGTGTGTGTTAGGGAGAGATACACATAAATGACAATTTGTTATGTAGTCAGTTGTCTCATCACCATTTCTGATATAGACGTTTCTTTCCCTTTATGTTGCTTTGGTACCTGGATTAAAAATCATTTGACCTGGGAAACCCCTATAGGGCCAGCTTCCCCCTGTGCGAGTTCAGTTTTTATTCATACTTAATGAATTCTACTCCTTTCACTCTGGTAAAAACAAAACCAATTGACTATAGGAGAGTGAGTCTATTTTGGTGGATTTTTTTTATAGAGCATGACCAAGAAAACCCATTGGTAAAGCCCCAGCACGTGATAACCATCACCCACCATTGGCACAGTGAGTCAGTCTTTGTTTTCTTTCTCTTCTTGTCTGCTGCAGGGGACTCAGAAAAAGATCCTTGATATTGCCAACATGCTGGGCTTATCTAACACGGTGATGCGACTCATTGAGAAGAGGGCTTTCCAGGACAAGTACTTCATGATCGGCGGGATGCTGCTCACCTGTGTAGTCATGTTCCTCATGGTGCAGTACCTGACTTGAGCCGGCCACACCCAGTGGCTGGACATTGTTCCCACTGCGAGACTGTGTGAATGTGAGTGTGTGCACGTAAGAGAGAGAAGGGCCTAGAGGCCACCTTTTGAAATGTATGCCTGACTTAACTGTGAAGACCACTTAGGAGTAATTGTGATCAAACTGCTCTTTTTTCTGAGACATCTTGGTGAGCTAGTGCCACCAAGATGCGTGGTATGTAGAAAGTGAAAGAAGTTCTGATTCTCTCACCCTCACTCTCACTGGGGGAGGGAAGGGATGGCTTTGTCCACATGACTGTGTGCACCTGGAGAAGGCTTCTGCAGTGAGCCTCATGCACAGGACTGTTCACACTGTTCACACCTTGTCATCAGCAGCCTTTGAGGCTCCTGATGAATAGGCTGGAGCATGAGCAGAAAGGAGAGGGAAGAGGCCTTTTCCTGCACCTGTTGCAGTGGATCAGTTTACACACTCTTGCTCCTGCCACCCTCCCCCAGCAACTGACATGTAGATGACTAACTGCTAACACTCATCATCCTTTCCTGGAAGCAGCAACCTAGGAGAAGCAGAGACATTAAAGGTATTGCTGATAAGGGTAAGCTTTTCCACACTATGGTTGCTGGGCGTTTGTCCTTCCTGAAGGAAGGCCAGTGTTCCTGGGAATGTTCAGTCTGGAGACTGAAGACCCGAGTCACCAATTTTTTTTCAAGTATTAGAATGGTTAGCTCTCTTAAAACTCAGAGACTGCAGCTGGGCACCTCTGCCCAGGCTTTGATGGGCTTTTGCGTCTTAAGAAGGTGGCAATTAGCAAAGGTTAGTTATTTGTCAGTTACAGTCTCGTCTCTAGTTCTAACATCTCTTAATTCTTTGGCTCTCTTCTCTTCCTTGAAATACATTAGCACCTGCCTCGCCAGGGTAGGTCACCCTGGAGATGTCTCTGATTATATGTTCTTGTGAGACTTTCCAGGAACCAGAAACTTTCCCTTCTTCCCAGCCCTGGATTAAGGCTGTAACAATACCTGGAGTATTGTGGAATTCATTATAAAGCCAGTCTGTCTTGAAGTCTATCTAATGTGATAAATTTCTGAAAGTACCAGAAAGACCTGGTGAGTGTAGTTGTTCATCTGTCAGAGAACAACTGTCCTACCAACCCTAGGCTTAGCCTCATGGCGAGGCAACATAACACTCAGAATTCCCCGGAACTAGAAACCTGGTCAGTATTAACTCCACCCTTGATCATTCTACTTACACTTTGTCTTTGTTCCTTGTAGCTTAAACTGTCTTGTGCCTCTTTTCCCTCCTACTGTGTATGGTCTCTTCCCTCCCTTACTCACCTGTTTCAGTAGCAATACTGGTCTCTTCAGGCATATGTATTTGTAGCGTAACTCCTCCTTTGGTGAATTTTCTTAATTGTCACAGATTTTTAACATGAATTTTCTGGGTACTAATTTCAGATTTCTGATCAGAAGAGACATCCATTACCCCTCCCTACCCCTCTGGGCTAAACAGGGACCCTAGATTTCCAGGAAGGAGGAATCTGTGACCCCTTCTGAAAAGGATTAACAGCCCTGCAGAGCAAAAACAGTGACCTGAAGCAGGGACAGTGGGGCTGCAGCATCTTCAACCTGCCTTTGGGAGGCATTTTGAAATCTTCACCATGCTCAGCACAGAGCTCTTGAGGGTCCATAAAATGGATTATTAGGCTGCAGAGACCTGTCTTGTCTCCTGGGCACCTGAGGATTCTGCCAGACAGTACACTTTGGAGGAAGGTGTGCAAGTCGCAACTGAGCCATTTGGACTTGAACTCTGGGAGACAGACACCTCCAACCCCCGGCCCTGTTGGCTGGTAGGGCATCTTTTTGTAGTGAATACCAGTTTCCTCACCTGCCTTTATAGTGATTCCTGGCTTTGATAAACCTTCATGCCTCACCTTTGCAGCAGGTTCTCCCTACTTGGGAATAAAAGTTGTGGAGGTGGTGTGTGAGTCTTTACTGCCTGGGGCTGGGAATGGTGTTCTGTGTCTGGTGATTCCAGGGCACTGAGAGGGCTATTGTCACAGAACTACCATCCTTCCCATTTCGTGTCCAGTGCCCTACTGGGCAAGAAGTGCGTGGCCTGAGTGCAGGAAAGGGTCCCAGTCTAGGGGACCCTAGACTCCTCCCCAGTTTAGGGGAGGAGCGCCCTCTAGTGGGGTCAGGGTGAATTCTTAGGTGGAGCTAGCTAGAAACTCCAAAAGGTGGCCTTAGCCACCTGGTGCAGCAGTTATGCTGCCTGCTGGGGTTTGCAGCAGGTGAGTTGCCAGGAGGAACTTTGAATACCCTTATTACATGGATGTTTATTCCAGGTCTGGTCACTTTAAGAAAAGCCAGATTCAAGATCAAATTAATACAATAGTCCTGGTTTTATAGAAAATTTCATGCTGGGTTTTTCACTAAAGCCACTTTCCCTGTTGAATGTAAGTGGATTTGATTTGCAAGTTTGAATTTCCACTCTGTTTTTGAAACATCAGCTGAATAAAGTTGAGATTTATTTTATTTAGAAAATCATACTTTGTAAAATAATTTGACATTGTTATCACTAATAACCTTTTTTATGGTTCCAGGACAGTTTCTTAAACACTGTTCCATGGCCTAGGACTGGGCTGGCTGGCTCAGAAGCAGTTGGGGAACTTTTTTTTTTTAAGTACAGATTCCTGGGGCCTATTCCAGACCTGAATTAGAACATTTTTTTAAGTCTCTGAGGTCATTCTTACATGTGTATTTTGGAACCACTGTCTCGCAGGAGGCTTTTGTCTTAATCAAAGGTGATAGCATTTGAAAGTGTAAACTCAGAGTACATGTGTGAAGGAGCGGTGGGGTGGAGCTCGGTGGTAGTACACCTGACTAGCATGAGTGAGGCCCTGAGTTTGATTCCCAGCACCGAAGAATACATGTGTGAAGAGCAAGACCCATCAAATCCAAGAATAAAGTTATTTATAGCCTCCTTTATTCCAGAAGAGAGTTGAAACAGGAAATAACTCAGGCTGGGGATGTAGCTTAGTGAAGTAATCCTCAGAACTGCTGGGGCAAATGTTGAACAAGAATACGGAAAAAACCAGTGAAAAAAAATGAGGATCACAAGTCAAATCAGTGGAATGTCAGTACGGAGAAAACTTCAAATGCAAGTTGAAAATCCTTCAGATGCACTGGGGAATCCCTCTTGGGACTCTGAGCCTTGGCAGAACAGCACAATCCTTTACTGACTGGTGGGATGGGGGTGTCACCTGTTCTCAGGGAAAACCTGGAGCCTTACTGCTACTGGCTTCCACTGAATTCCCCATAGTCCCTACTGGAAGTCAGGCACAGTTTTTTCCCCTGCCTCCCCATTAATTTTCACAAACTCTAAGATACGTCCTGCTACCCTACCCCTATGTGCAAGCAAGAGGGCTGAATTTTAGTGACTCCTTGTCTGGCTGTCCCACATCTCCCAAGATCTGCATCAGCTTGCCTACCACACTTCTTGGAGACGCTCAGCTGGGGTGTAGGAATCAACCACAAGTGTGTGGGATCTGAGGTGACCTGCTGACACTACGTGCAGGTCAAGCATTTGTTGCAGACCATTTAGACTTCACATAGCAAATTCTTTGTTCTAGAACATTTTCCCAGTGGAAGGGGAAAGCAATTTGGGGGAACTTCTGAAGTGGGGGGTGAAAGTTGTACCTGCACTTTGCCACCAGAGGGTGGCATAGCCCTTCTAATGGCTGGTCTGTCGGAGTCCTCGGGTACTTTTGACACTGACAGATTTGGATCCAACTTTTTTTGCTGAGCAGTGGCTTTGGGCTACTCTTGGAGCTCTCAAGAGTACAGCCAAAAATGGCCTCCAAAACCCCAGCGAGGTTTCATTTCCAAAACTCCCTTTTCAGTCCTTCCTTGGTTTGTGGACACTGCAAATGTGGGAAACGTTTCTCAAGGTGTGGTGGTCATTCCTCCCTGCCTTTCTGTGTCCTTTCATTTTGTGTGGTGCATGGGAAAAGAAGGAAATGGACCTCTGCAACACTTCCTCCCCACCCCATCCCTGTGTTCCTCTACCATCTGGCTGTACATTGGGTTCCCCTCAGGAGCTTTTAGAAATAGCCATGTGAGGGCATTTTACCTTGACCCCTTCTGATTAACTGGCCCAGAGTGGAGCCTGGGCATTGTGTGCTGCCCAAGTGATTGTAATGTGTAGGCATGACCTAGAGCAGAAAAGAACTTCAACCTAAGAGCAGGCCATCCCTGTGAGTTTCCCTCTGTCTACACTGGTGTGGTAGCCTTTTGTCATTGTGACCAAAATACTGACAGGAAAAACTTGGAGGAGGAAAGATTAATTTTGGCTCATGGTTTCAGGGGATTCAGTCCGTGGTCTGCCAGCTCCATTGTTTTCAGCCTGAGGTGAGGCAGAACATCATGGCAGAGGGCATGGTGGAGGAAAGCTACTCCGTTTCCGGTACCCAGGAAGCAGAAGATTAAGCTTTTCCAGGGCACGGATCCTACTTCCTAGTGGGATATCCAGCTATCAATGGGATAATTCACTGAGGAGGTCAGAGCCCTCAAGATCCAGTTATTGTGTGAAGGCCCCACCTCTGAACCTTGCTTCGGGGGGCACTAAGGTTTCAACACATGAGCTTTGTGTGTGTGGTGTGTGTGTGGGGGGGTGGGGTCAGATCCAAAAGATAATGATGGGGAATCACTGTCCAAGGCTAGCTGGAAGGGAGAATGGAGACCTAATTCTCTCAGCTGGTTTGGGGAGAAGCCAAATCCATCTTGGCCAATGGGTGCCCCTCATTTTCTAAGGCTGCTCTGTCTAAAGCAAAGCACTACAGTGTGACAGGCCAGCCCTTCCCTGCCCTCCAGGGAACCTCCCAACCTTCCCCACCATATCCTGCCTTGCTCCATGCTCCCCGATTGATTGCTTGATCTTGGAACATGTCATGCTTTTCTGCATAGCTGCATCTTTGCACAAGATGTTTCCTTTGTCACATGTCAAGGACACTCCACAACCCCATGTCACCTCCACGAAATCCCTCCCCCAACCTCTAGCCTTGCCGTCTCCTGGAGAATGATAGTTGTTTCTCCCGCAGGGACCCTTGTGTATCCCCTACTTTGTGCACATAGTAGGTGGTCAGGAACATGGGGTAAATAGCCTTTGGGAGGGTGCTTGAGTCCAGCCTTTGTGGGTAACAGAAATGGATGCGAAGGTCCAGTGAAGTTGTTGTAATCAGACTCAGAGGAAGCCAGATAATTCAATGCCCCTCGTGTTCAAAGACTCAACAACAGCAATGGCTAAAGTAAAAGGGGGAGACCCCAGGAGGGAAAGTCAACCAGGATTGGAGAGAGGCAGGAGAGAGACCATCTTGTCTGAGATCTAAAGTGGAAAGGCCTGAATCCTGGGAACCCCTCAGTCTGGAGTAAACAGGATGGCTGGATCATGCTAGGTAATTGTCATAACTAATAAGTCATGATTAATGCAGGGTGCCCAGAGGGAGGGGACTGGCCTCAAAAGCTAACTCCTAACTCAGTCATTCCTTTGGTGTGATCTCACAGCCCCTCCTTACAGGCACCTGTGACATGAGGCTCCTCCTGGAGAGCTGGTGGAGGCTGAGCAGGCCCAAGTGGGCAGTCCTCCAACCTTGAAAGAGGGCCATAGCACTGGCAGGGTGTTTGCCTTTGTGTGTTCAGTGCTTCCGTGCCCTGCTCCCAGAGCTCTGCATGCCCAGCACTGTGTGAGCTGCTCCCTGCAAACCTGCCCTCTGCAGTCTGCAGTGAGCACAGAGTGAGGCAGCACTGCAAGCCCCAAACCCAGAAGACAGAGCCTGACTCTGAGTCCCAGCCCTACCAGCTGCAGCCACGTGGCACACATCCCTCTCAGTCTCAGCTTCCTTCTCTTAGAATGGAGCAACCTGTCCCACATCCCTTTCCAGGTGGGCCTGGCTCAAATGACCTAGTGTTTGCAGCAGACTCCAGAGGTCTGAAGAGGTGATTCTCAGCTATGGCTGCTTCCTGGCATTACCTAGAGTTAAAAAAAATTGACTTGTGGTCTCACCCCAAGAGACGCTGGGCTACTTGGTCTAGGACCTGGGCTTCAATACTTTTTTTTTTTTTTAACTTTCCAAGGAATCTCTTGCTCTAAATGCCTTCTAGGTGTGAGGGACTATTTTTCCTGTCCAGCTTGAGAGTTGAGCCCTGTTCATATGAAACAAAGTAATGTGCTCCATCTCCACAGTTGAGGGACAATGGCTCAGAGCAACTGTCATGGTAAGGACATTGACTAGGAAGGGCTTTTCCAGTGACAGGCGCTGGCTGTGTTCAAAGGAAAGGAAGAGTGGGAGAAGCTGAGAAGAAGGGGTGAGGTGGAGAAGAAGCTCTTGTCAGCCTTTAGCTGCTGAAGGCGGTGAGAGAGGGCTTATGCCATCTGCCCATCATCTCCATGGCTCGCAGCTTCCTGGAACTAGCTCAGAACCCATGGAAGAAATCATTGCTGCTCAGAGGCCCAAGAAACCTGAAATGGAGCTAAATTTTTGGAGTGTGATAACTCGTCAGAGTTATAGGCCTGAGTTATGCAGAAGGAAAGAAATTTCTTTCCTTGTTCTCTTTTCTGAACAGGGCAATGGGTGCCACTTGGACAAAGCCCACCCACTGGCTCTGCTTATCTCCTGGCACCTTTCTGCACCCTCTGCTAAGAATTTCCTTTGCCCAGGCTATGTTCAGGGACTCAGGCAAGGGGTCAGGGAAGGGAGACTTCTGTGGGAGGGCAGAGTAATCACCACTCACCAGGGACCTCTGCAGATTATTGTGAATATCAAGATAAAATGCTGGAAATGAAGCCCTGGTTGCTCCCAGGTGCTGTCCAAATTCCTGTTGCTATATGCATGGAGTGAGTGTCAATTCAGTGTCCATGGTGATTCCTTTCAGGAAACCATTTCTTTTTTCCCCGCTTGTGGCAGAAGGCAGCCTCTTTTACCTCAGCCTGGGGATCCTGGGAGGTCCTTCACGGGCAGCCCCAGGAGCTGAATTCCAGAATGGGAGATGAATTCCAGAATGGGAGCTGTAGCCATCTCCTTGGATGAAAAGATACTTTGGAATAAATATGTTAAGTTCACCCATTTGGAGGGAACTGCACTTGATTAATGATGGGGGAGGCCTGGAATATTCACTTAAGGAAAAAGTTTAAGCCTGGTTCACAGCTTTTTTTTTTTTTTTTTTTTAATTGTAAATGGACACAATACCTTTATTTTATCCATTTATTTTTATGTGGTTCTGAGGATCGAACTCTGCCTCATACGTGCTAGGCAAGCGCTATACCATTGAGCTACAACCCCAATTACAAGCAATTGGGGCAGCAATTAGGTGCCAGGCAAGTGGGATAGATACTGGAGGTTTTTGTTCAGAGGGAAGAAACTCATCCAGGGCGGCAAGAGTGAGCAAGGAGGCTTCCTGGAGGGGAGGCTGGTGCAGGTTAGAGGGCAGAATGGACCCATGTTCCTGGGGAGTTTGGGGAGGGGAGCTGGATTGAGAAG